TTGCGGTCAAAGCCGAAGCATTGTTAGATGCTGGCCTGGGGAAAAGCCTGAATCAGCGCCTGCACTGTAGCAGATAGCCAGTCTCAGGAGTCCAGTCAGTAAAGAACAGGGTTTTGTCAGTCCTGCTGCTGAGACCCATGCACTAAGGACACATCTAAAGCCCAGAGATCCCTTCTAACATTGACATGTGGGCAAGCACTGCAACCTGTGGGAAAAAATGCCTTGGTCTAGGAAGAAAGCCAAGGGGGAGGGATTGCTTCTCTAAGACAGGGAATAATTTCTTTTTATGCTTCATTTTCCTGCTCTACACCAGCAAGCTGCTTCACAAATTCAACAGGTGGTTTTGAAAAGCATACAGAAAAGCTGTCATTTCATTCCTTGGACTCTTACTGTAGAACAGGTTTGTACAGAGAGCTGCAAACTCACAGAAGTAAGATGCTGAATATATCCCTGTGTCTGTGCAACCTGCTGCCCTCAGCAGCAGGCAGCCAGTGCAGGTGGTGGGAGCAGTCAGGCCATCCCTAATGGGCTGTTTATGGCTGGCACAGCCTTTTACTTTTGCCCCTTGTATTGGTGGCAACTGGTGAGACAGTCAACACAGCTCTGAGCAGAGCAGACAGCTTACTGAGCTATCCTCCCACTGCCTCCCAAATATCCATGAATGGTGTTACCTCTACATTTTAATTAACCTGGGCTACATAGAGAGGCACTATTGTACATTATTAATATCCTTCTGTTCCCAGCAGTTTAAGAACTTGCTGGTAATGGCTGTGGCATGCAGCACAGGTTTGCAGGCTGCATGTTTTATTTTCCATCATTAAATGGGAAGGATGGTCTTGGCAACTTCTATCCTATTTGCTGCAAAAGTAAATGTTGGTTATTGGACAGAGTGGATGGTTGCTGATTTAAAATACCTTGGGCAGCTCTCGTGCCAGCTCCCCCATTAGCTGTGCAATTATGTTAACCTGAGGCTGCTGGCAATCCAAACTGGGAAAACACTGTCTCTCACCTGCAGCAGGAGATACCTGTACAGTCTCCCCCCTCAACAGTGCCACGTATGACCTGCCCAGAGTTTCTGCTAATTCTGTGGAAGGGGCTCCCTGACACTGACCATTGCATACAGATATATCTTGATGAGCAGAGTGAAGCCTGTAGCTTATTGACTTCCTTTTTGTGCTCAGATCCTTTTGTAGCTTTGGGGCAAAAAAGAATGGGGTAGAGCAGTACTACCTTCAGGAAAGCACTTTGAACATGCAGGACCTCACCCGCCTCCCAACCCCTTTTATCAAAAATGGCAAGGAAGGTGGAAAAAGGCTTGTACTGAGAAGGAAAATCTTCATCACTTGTGGGTTATGCCACGGAGAAATGAAACTGTTTTAATTACAATGGCAGCTCTTGCTGCTTCTTTCCACTTGTGCAAAACAAGAATTGCTGGAAAATATTCCAGGCATCTTTTTCTGGAGCCTGAGGGTATGATCCCATCTTGACACCTCTCTGTAGTTCAACTCAGGAATGGATTTTAGCAATCACTTTTCAAGTAGACAAAAGGCCTGTTTGACTTCTCTTAGGATTCAATGCCAGGGTTTTGGTGGTAGCAGACAGAGAAGAGGAACTACCACATGAAAGAAAAAAAGATGAAGAAAGTGTTCTTCACATATGGAGGGTGGAGAAGGAGACAAGATAAGGGTTTCCATGGCAACATTCCTTGAAGATAAGTATTTTTAAATCTGTGTGAATTTTAGCATTGAAAACACCGTTGTGTTTTCCACAAAAAGATTTGGGGGAGGGCTGGAGTAGGAAGAATTTTTTCCCCTGCTTTTCAGGTCATTCCAGTTTGTTTTACAGAGGAGCCTGAACCCAAGCTAAATGAAGTATGTGTGATTGCTATGATGTTAATGCTTCTGTAAAGAAAGCCTTGCTTCCAGGAGGCATAAAGCATCAGTCATAGTTCTATATCTGCACCAACATCTTTGGCGCAAGCACTTGATCATCTCTTTAATGGGAAAAGTAGTTTAAATAAATCAAGGCTAGACCAGTTAAAAGTCACAAGGACAAATCTTGGAGGATTCCACATTAAAACTAGTGTAACTTGGCATGAAGTCTTAATTATAATTGATGTACAGATAAGTGATAGTAGTAGTAATGAGGTAGCTGAGACCTTTTGCCTTGGCCAAAGAGTGGAGGATGAGAACTGAAAAAGCAGAGAAGCCAGCTAAAATGTATCCCTGGTGTGTGTCCCAGTTACTTCAATGACAGCGAAACATCCCTGTAGGTGGACAAGTGATGCTCCAGTGACACTGCTATGCGGGAAATATTTGCTCTTGATATGGGGTTGGGGCCACCTCTGAACCTCTCTGAAGCTTCTCTGCTCCAGTCTCTGCATTGCTGAACAACTCACGGGCACTGGCACGCTCTGCTACCACCTCTCTGCTGGCATCCAGGCAGGTCAGCTCTGTCACAAGCCTGGCAGTGAGACATCCAATGCTGTGTGCCTGCTTGGCTGCCAACTTTGTAGTCTCACTAAAAAAGGCTATTTTTTTTTTTTTAAACAGTTGCTTCCAACTCAGTGGTGACTCAGACACTGCAGCAAGGGTAAAGTGATCATCTTCCCCTTCAAAGCTTTACAGCAGAAGGCCCTGAGTATCCTCTCTAAATGAGAGCTTGCTGAACCCCACCATCAACTGGATTCAGATCTTTAATTTAACTGATGGAATGAGATGATCCAGCAGTCCTGTGTACCTGCTGGCTCAGGGCTTGTGTTTCAGCAATAGACTAAATGATTTCTACAAGTACTTTGTATTCAGAAGCCCTGGGGAGGGGAGGCTGAGAAAGAATGAATAGTCACATATAAAAAGAAGGGGGCAATTCACCCATTAAGGCTCTTTCGCTGACCAAATTTCCCTGGGCCATGAATCCAGGAACGGAACAAAAATACATTGGAATAGTAAGAGAAAAACAGTCGTATTTTGCTATTTATCCTTTGGGGTGAGGGACGGGAAGCAAATAAGGGTGTCTAAAAAAGCATAATTCATACTGTCAAAAGCATGGAAATTGGCACCCAGTAGTATTGTTTCATACAGAAGAAGCAAGGCTCAGATCTAGCTAAGATGACTTGTCAACTTCCCTACATCTTCATCGATAGAACCTACCAGCAGTGTGGAAAAAAGCTGCACTTCTTATGTTACTGTTGGATCCTCTATAAAGATTCACTGTTGTCAGATACATAATTTCTAATTCTGGGAATAATATGATGCCCTGACGTTAGCACTAACGTGAAAATGCATACTCTGGCTTGGACTAAAAAGCAACTGACTTGCTCATGTAGGACTTGTTAGATTTTAGTTATTGATTATGTATATCATGTTTATTCTGTCTCTTCCTTTAAGACCACTGTGGTATTTTGTGCTGCACTCTCATGCTCTAGCTCCTTACAGCTGAACTGGAGATGCAGGAAAACTGCCATACCCAAATAACAGAAGTGCAGCAACTTCAGTATCCAGTATCCAGAAGCTGACTCTTACTCCATCCGTGGATGCATGTGAGCCAGCCAGGCACGGCGTCAGGGCTCAGGGCTCCGTGGGCGTTAGACAGCACTGATGGGATTGCTGCTGTGCAGGGGAGCGGAAGAACTGCCTTGTTGCACCATGTACGAGTGTTCTTACACAGCTCTAAGCTTGCACAAATGCAGAGTCCAGGCCAAAAAGACCTGCCTTCTGGCAACTTGTCTACCACCTGCAACTGTCCTACTTGGGGATAAAGGTGTGGCAGATTTGTTTCTGACTTTATGAGGGGGCTCTCCTGCTTTTTCAAGCCCTTCCAGAAGTCTGAATGGGAGAAAGGTGCCTTAAGAGGAGAGGAGTGAGCTGTGTGAGTTAATGGGAGCTGACAGGGATGCCTGCAAGAATACACCATCACATATGACGGGAAACCAACTAGACCAATGCCCCACATTCATTGGTAAGCAAGATATTTGGGAACAGAGAGGGTGTTTGAAGTACTTAGTTCTTCTGCTGTGCAGAATTCATACTAAATTTGACAGAGCCTGTGCCTTGATTTGATGATACTGTTCTCCTAAAAGGAAGAAGCAAATTGATTGCTTGTTAACAGAATGCTCTAAATTAACCTCAGGCATGGGCCTGGGCCTGCAAACCTTTGCATGACTGTGACTATTATTTATGCTGTATGATTGCATTGAATACCGCTGACTGTTCAATATATTGGCCTGGCACAGCTGCGCTGAAATTTTAGTTGTGGCTTTCAGTTGTTGGAAACGAAATTTTTGAAGCTGTTTAGGTGTTGGGATTTTGAATACCTCATTAAGCACCTACTTGACTATTTAAATGCCTAGATGTCTTTGTACATCTAGTGTTGCCATAATGCAAAAAAAAAAGGAAATTATATAGAAGGTTTGCTGGGTCAGGCCTCTGGTTTCATATCCCAGCAGTGATAACTAGGTATATACACCATAGTTCACCGCAAAATCTTTTCTGCTTGAGGAATCTTGATGGAGACTTTTACATAGTAGAGATAAAAACACTGCAAACGTACATCCTGCGTTAGCCTTTATATATTTTATAGCTGTACTGTTCTAGTGTGGTAAACTGAGCTGAGCAATCACATTTTTTCAATTATCCTCAAGAACAGGAAATCCTTATCACCTCTGTGTTTCTTTCTCCCACTACTGCAGCATTGGTCTTGAAATTGTCACCACAGCTCAAAATCCTCATTCTGTAAATTAAACTGTGATTTAAAAAAATTTTACAGTACAGCCTCCTCATAAAACTCCACAAGTCTTTTACTGATGTGACTCACTCAATTACTCATGTGGGCAGACGTTCAGATAATAAAAGTAGTTAATGGAAAGCTGTGAGAAATACTGCTGGTTCCTGAGGAGGCAGCCAGGGGGAAGGCTACTGCGGGTATTTTATCCGAAGAGCTGCCGAATTCACTGAGCTCCCAGGCATTTTTTTAAGATAAGGATTTCTCCGTTCTGCTTTTTCCTTTGTATAAGAACAGCTTGAGAAATCAGACTGGCAACAGAGAAGCAAAAGCACACCAGATGTACATGTTTGCTCTTCTGCTCCTCTTCCTACATATTAGGGATGATAGCCAGCCTGTGCCCTGAAAAAATCTCTTTATCCTAGTGATGTATGTACCTAAACAACACTCAGTACTCTAATGAGCTCTGGATTCCTGAATCAAGGAGTGGAACTAACCAGTAGCTAAATAACCCCTTTGTTTGGAGGTGTCCAAACATATACTGACAAGGATCGGAATTTTCTGGAATTAATAATGGTGCCTTGAGTTTGGTGTGCAATAGGTCAGGTAATACATCTAGAAAGCAGGTTTCAATGACATTTCAGTGAGTGCACATTAGAGGAATATGGCACATTTTGAAGTTGATGAGGCAGAAAGGTACTGAAGAGTAGTAAGGTACCACTTAGATGTAAGAGCTCCCTTACAAAATGAAATTACATGTATGATGACTTCAAAGAGACTTAGAATTAAGCCAAAAGTGGAACTAGTGTAAGTGGACCAGCTGATTAGAGCTAAGGGCTAACTGGCATTTGCAAAACAACCAGAGCAGTTAACTCTTGGTTGTGTGGCTCTGAGGCTGCTAGATTTCCTTACAAATGGCTGTGTGAGCCCATTCCAACAACAGTGCTGGATATAGAAAGAGAGAGGACATGAGGATATGCTCATTTTTCATGCAGAATGAGCTGCAGGGAGACTATGGCTTGACTTGTAAAACAGAGCTTCTGGCACAGAGAAGCAGTGCATGGATGTTGAGGCTCTGGATCAGAGAAAGTAAGCTGTCAAATTATATTTAGCGACTACATGCTGCAGGAAAGCGCAGAGAGGGAAGGAGCGAACTATTGCGTAGCTGGGCCCCATGAGTAGTGAGCACACAGAGCAGGGAATGAGGCTGTTAAGAGAGGATGAATTGCCTCGGTGTTCCTGATTCAAATAAATCTCTGTGTGAGGCCAGAGATCTGCACAGACTTGTATGACTACTTTGATCAGCAGAACCCTGCTTTATTTATCCCCAGACTCCATCAGGTAAAGAGTGACCAACTTGTGGCCTTCCAGCCATTCCCTCTGCCCTCACCCTAGGGATGTTTCCCACAGCAATGCCATTCCCAGCTGGGGAAGCAGTATGATGGGGGCTCTTGGAACCAATATCTCAAACTGCTGTACAGCCCAGCTGCACACCCGGCTCAGTCCCAACCCATCAGAAGCTTGTTAGCTAAGGCTGGCATCTGCAAAATAGGTTACCCTGCTCCATTTGAATTCAGGGGTGTGAGTGCTCCATTGTGTTCCCTGGAAAGCCCAGTTCTAAAGAGATGAAGGTGGAAAAAAAGTCCTTATACCTGTATGAGAGATCAAACCTTGTGTGCTGACATGTGACAGTTGATCATTTGGGTCCTGTCTTATACTCCAGGGTGCAGAGATTGTGACCGACTAGTTTATAGTAGAATGGGTACATCTTAGGCTCTAATTCTTTCCTGCTAAAAGCTCACTTGTATGATTCAGAAATGTCTTTGCCTTTGCAATAAATAAGGCCTTTAAGCTCCTTCTCAGAGGAGACAGTGCGGGGAGGCCTGGCTGCCTTCTCTGCATAAATATTTCTGTCAAACTGGATTCAGGCTGAGGTGGGTGAAACTGCTGCACCAACAGGGAGCCATCGACTTCCATCTCCTGTTAGGCAGTACTGCATCATTGAGATTTGTGTTGTTACTGTACTGTCAAAAATAGCTGTGAGTGAGAGAAATGCTCCCATGTGTTCACCAAGCAGGAGGACAGAGCAGTTAGAAGGAGGGAGATGCAGACTGTGATAGTGAACAGAAGATGTGCAAGGAGGAACTGCCTTCACAGTCTCATGAAAGGGTGACTGTGATGCGTGATGGAAGGAGGAAGGATGACTTCACAGATGTAATTTATTATACTTCCTATGCAAGGGAGTTATGCTAGTTCCAGAAAAAACTCACATTGGTTTGGTGGCTCCTAAGAATATGCAAGGTCATAAAATTTTTTAAAAGTGGTTTATGTGGTAAAAGCATGATTACCACATGGTAGGATTAGAAAAGCAGGATTAGAAAAGCTCCAGGGAGTGAGTTCCTGGAATTATATGAGTACCTAAAAATCTGAACTTTATTACATACAGGGAGAAACGAAGACCTCAGAGAACGGTTCTACCTGTTGCAGCTGCTGCAGATCAAACTCGCAAATGTGAAAAAAGCATCAGTAGGTCGGTAACATCTACTCCAGTCTGTAGTGAGCAAGAATCAATAGTTCAAAAAGGATGAATTTTCACATGTGCTGTACTGGAGCATTAACTCCTCTATCTATCCTTTAGGGGCTCAGCAGCTATATCAGATCTTACCTGGGGAGATGCCACAGGGTCAGGACAGGGTGGAAAATAACTGACAATTGACCTGGGTTAGCATCTTAGAGAAAGGATACCAGCAGGAAAGAAAAACAAATTAGAGTGGTTGGTTCTTTCTTCCTCTGCTCCTTGAGTGCTTGTCGTTTGAACCCTTGGAGGGAAACTGATGAGCAACTACGCTTTGTGCTGGTTTCTCTTTGAGGCCATTTGTTGCCTGTTTTCTTTTTAAGTCTGAAATGTTAGAAAGAGATCATTATTTTTCCTATTTAGCTTGACCTCTTCCTTCCTGGGAAAGTTCTTCCCCTTGTACTGGCTCTGTTCTTTTCACACAGAGCTGTGTTGAAGTAAAGTTCAACAGAAAACTTGAATTCCTAGAAAAAATATTGGGACTTAGAATGAGACATTCCCTCGAACAGACACTCTGAAACACTGCAAACATATCCTGACTCTCTCTGGAGGTGCTGTGAGGTATCAGATGTCAACCATGCAGAATGAAAATATGTGCATTGCTGAAATAACAATGTTAGGGCAAACACTTCTATGAGATGGGAACTACTCTGTGGGTCATCTCTTCTACCTTTGTGCAGCAAGCCCTCTACTCAGCTGCAGTTTCTCCTAAGGAGAGAGGTTATCTGTGGTTACAATCTTGATTGCCCAGCAAATTGCTGAATGCCTGAGGAAGCAGGAGGAGAATGTGCAGCTTCAGGCTGTGTGGGTTTTTCAGTCTGGTTTTCAGTGAGCACTGGAGGTTGAGTGTATAAGATGCCTCTGGATCCTGACACCATTTGTTGTGGCATTGGACAGATGCATCCTGTGCTGGGAGGCCACCCCTGGCATTCTGGAACAGCTGTGGGAGTTAAATAAACTTCTATTTGCTTCAGGTGCTTTGGATCATGAGACTGGCAAAGGCTGGCCATCCAGGCAGAGGCAGATGCAGATACTGTGAAGTGAGCATGACTGGGTCTTTGTTGAGGCAGTGAAGATACATACAGAAAATAGTTACAGAAAATAGTTACAGACTATTTTCTTCACTCACCCAGTTTTCCTTCCCTCTCTCCACTAAATGTTACCTTTCAGCTAAAGGGCCTATATATATGGTCAGTACACATGACCAGAACTTTGGTGTCAGAGTCCTTTGTCCTTTATACAGCAGCAAATCTGCTCAGCTCCATGTGATGGAACAGCACAGGGATTTTTTCTTTTGTTTCTACTGTTTACAAAATGTGGGGGAAAAAAAAGTTAAAGGAAAAATGGTTATAAAACTAGAGCAGAGTTATATAAACACGTGAACTGAAAACCTGCAGGAAGATCTGTCTGAGATCTGACTTGGTCATTTGTCTAAAGAGGATGTTTACTCACACCACCTGATGTGGTGACTGTGCTGTCCAGTTCTCCATAGAGCAAAGTAAATGGAAGAGGCTTTTGGCTGTGATTTCTTACTGTGGTGAAAAAAATAGGTGGCCTTTGAACTACCCCATTATTACTTTTCTCTAATAAAGAACTGGTGATTCAAACTGTATATAGGACACCCACGCAGAGTTCCCAGCTGGAAGAGTGCTCAAGACCAAAGGGTCGGTTCCTCTGTGCAAACTGTTGTGAGTAGGGAACTCCCTTGGGTGATGGGCAGAGGTAAAAACCTAATGCATGGAAGAGAACTTGGAAGAATAGTGGTCTCACTGTGCTTTTGGATCTTGACCTCCAATATAAACTCTCTAGACTGCTTGCCTTTCTGTTTTCTAGTGACTGTTTGAACGGCACCTTTAGGTGACGTTTGCTTCTCAGTCTTAAAGATACTGATCTAAGGGAAAATCTTGCACAAAAGGATTGGGGAAAAGTTAGAAAAGTTAAAGTGTGTAATAAATTAGGGCTGAGAGAATATAAAAAAATAGTTTAGCACATCACTTGACAGCTGGGAAGTCATTTATGTAAATTTAGGGAAGTAGTGGTTGGATTCAATTGGTCTAATTTAAACACTATTTCTAATTATTTTTGGTATGTATACAGAGGATTATATGATGGCCATTATTCTGACAGGAAGGCTCTTCATATTTAAATTTAAATCCATAAATTATTACCCTATTAAAATGTAAACATGCTGTGATAACAAGCACCTGATTATGCAGACAGGTTAGTCCAGCTACTCTGGTGAACAGCTGTGTGCATGTATTTCAGATAATGCTTTTTTTTACAGCCTAAAAACCACAAGCAAGCCATTGAGAGGTCAAGAGATGTCTGACCCACAGGTGGGAGCTGCCTGTAAGGAGGTTTGCTGGCACTGAGTGCAGATCTGAGAGCAGATGGGCTCTCACAGGTTTCCACTGAAATCAGGCCCTGGCGGCACCCAAAAGTACAGAGGGAAGATGAATTAACAATTCCCCCTCCATGCAGTCTGGTGCAGCTAATCCCAAGTTAAAACTCCTAACAGCATCTTTGGAGAACCTTCCTCTTCACATCTTGACAATTTTCTCCTTTTTGCTAAGAGAAAGATCATGCAGGTTTACTGGGAAGCTGCCAAATGACAGCTTGACTTCACACCTGAGAAGCAAATGAATGAGGAGAGAAGGAAAGCCTCAGCCTGGCTCCAGCCTGACACAAACACAAAGAGTCCTGAGAGTGTGGGCATGAGCAACCCCTGGAGCTGCAGCAGCAGCAGGTGTGACATGAGCAGAGTCCAAGCTGAAGCTACTGTGGAGGAGGGAGCATGGGGCCCATTACCAAACTGCAAAAGAGTTATCATCAGCTGCAGACCCTAGGGTGAGGTGGAGACCTGGCCATGGATGATTCTTGGAGGTGTGGGACAAGGCTTGGAGCTCCACACTGTATAGCAGTCTTTCTTGAGTTGATTTGGCTGGCTTTCCTTCCCGGAGCCATTGCAACAAAGACTCAGATCAGCTCTCTCAAAAGGTGCACTACAATCAGCAGGGCTGCTGACAATCATGATTTATTCTTTAACTACCCCAAAACTGTATTTTTGGATGTGTAACTCATGGTTTATAAACTCTGGGGGTAAAGGGCACCAAGAACGAGGTTTCATGACACTCACTTCTTCAAACCTTGTGGTTTTAGGGCAGAGAGTGCCAGACTCTGTTGAGGGGAGCTGCAGGTGGCCTGACTCCATACTGGCACAGCCCTGCACTGGTGCGGGTGCTGGGGGACAGTGTGGGTGCTCATGTGCAGTCACCTCTCTCCTCCCCATACTCATCATGGCAGGAGGTCTCTGGCAGGGTGTTCTGGGATTCTTAAGCCTTTCTGTGAGATTAAGACTACTGCAGCTGTGAAATATGAATTGCTCTTGGCTCTTTAACTGCCTGTAGAAAAGTCAAGTACTTGAAGTTTTGAATTTTAGTCCACCTTTTAAAATGGGAGAAAAATGCTTTGCATATGAATTTTTTTTCAGCAGTATGATGATCACTGTGCCTGACTCATCCTTCATATGGGTGAACTAAGCAAGCTAAAAGAAATATCCCTCAGGGCAGGGATTTCTATCTCATTTTTCTTTTAAGGGAAGAAACTTCCAAGGACTGGCCTCGAAGACTACCAGGTTGTTGGATGACCCCACTAGGTGTTTGCAATCTGCAATTCTAAAGTCAGCAGGAGACTAGGCATATCTAGCTGGATGCCTTTGCAACAGCTCTCAAGGCAAGAGAACAAGTGTTCCTCTAGTACGAAGTTGATGCACAGGTCCTGCAGTGCTGGATCTTCTCTGGTTGACTACCATAGAAGTGTCCGTAATGTGAAGGCTGGGAAAGCGTCAGGCTGTTGTGTCACTGTGTAAGGGACGGCATATAACCCAGGGCTGCGCTACAGAGGCAGCCAGAGCTTTGTGGAGCCTCATGGGAACATGAGGTGAGTAATCACAGCTGCAATTCATTTCAAAGAGGCAAGTGAGCTCCCTGGAGAAAGCTGGGACACTTCTGCTGAGAGGGCGCTTTTTGGGGGGGTGGGGAAAAGGCTATTTTTCTGCTCAGGTGGAAGAATTAAGTGGGAAAGCCTTGCACGTTCCTTGAAGGGTGGGCATTTTCATCACAATTGTAGAGTGACTTCCCTGGGATATAAAGTCAGTCAGTATTAAAGCCAGGAACTGACCGAACAGACCTCTCAGCTCATGGCTTCAGTGCTGTGCTGCAGCCACGAGACTGTTCTTGCTCTGTTTCTGCTGACCCTTCACTATGTGCTTTTCTCTGCTAGAGCTGAAAAGCTGCTTGGCAGCTGAGACTTTACCCTTCCTCGCACCCCGTACAGCACTAGCTGCACAGAGGCGCGAGGGTCTGACTCCGGCTCCCGTGGTGCTCAAAGCTCCCGGGGTACCAGCAGAGGCGGCGGCAGCCCCGTGATCTGGGAGGGGCGCTGCCAGCGACCTGCCGTTGGGGAAATCGAGTCAAAGTGATTAAAACAGCCAAGACTCTCTAAAGAGAAAAGATGCGTAAATATTTATTACGACTCGGAGTACCGGCGCGGTGCGGTGGCCGAAGCTCAGGTGCCGGAGGGGAACGGACCCGACCGGGGCGGCGGCTCCGCCGACCGCCCTCCTCTCCCGCCCCAGCCCCGCTCCTCCCGGATGTCGCCCCCCGCGCGCCGCCGGGACGGAAGTGGGCGCGCGCGGGGGGCCGCGCGGGGCGGCGCATGCGCGGGAGGCGCCGTGCGGCCGCGCCCCGCCCCCGCCGCGGTGGGGGTCTGGCGCGCGCTGCGTGCGCGCGGCGCGAGGCCCGGCTCGGGCGGCGGGGGCAGCGCGCGGGGCGGGGGCAGCGCGCGGCGGGGGAGCGTGCGGGGCGGGCAGGGGGCCGGGGGCGGGCGGACCGACCGACCGACGGACAGACCGACCGGGTGAGAGGATGTGAAGATGGCGGAGCTACAGATGCTGCTGGAGGAGGAGATCCCGGGGGGGCGCCGGGCCCTGTTCGACAGCTACACGAACCTGGAGCGGGTGGCCGAGTACTGCGAGACCAACTACATCCAGGTGCGCGCGGGCCCCGCGCCGGCCAGGGCAGGGGCGCGCGCGCCCCGCCGCTCCCGCGGGAGCCGCTCCGGGAGCCCCTCCCGAGCCCCCTCCCGGGGCTGCTCCGGCCCCGCGGCGGCGGCAGGGCGGCAGCTCCGGCTGCTGCAGCCTGGGGAGGGGGAGGAAGGCTGGTTCACCTCCGGCGTGAGCTGCCCCGGCGTGACGAGGCGTTTGAATGTGTGATTGATTCCTAAACTGAATGCCTTCCACTTTTTGGGAGTGAATGTTCATTCCAGATTGTGCCTCTGTCGCTCTTTTTCGTTCGCTTCCCCACGTTCCGCGCTCCTTTGCTGCCGGCGCTGTGGTGATAAACCGAGGGATAGCTGACTCCTGCAAATACGGTTAATTTAGGGCACAATGACATATGTTTTAATAGGGATGTGCCTGTCAGTTCGTATTTCCCTTCCCGAGCAGGGCTGTGGAATTCCATGGGAAGGGCAACTACCAAGCGGTAGGTGCAGGATGAAACCATGATGTAGTAAGAGATGGTACGGAATTAGGGAGAAAGAGATCGAGTACAAGTTGCTACCGCAGTGTGTGGTTTTTGCGGTGGCTGCTCTGAAACCAGGTTGGTGTTAGGACTTTGCTTTTTTTCCTTTCTCTTTTTAGTGGAAAGAAAAGCAAAATATTGGCAATTTGCTTTGGTAGTGGTGGTAGGGCCAAATGAAAGACTTTGCCCTCAAACAAACACAAAAAGACACCTTAAGATGGGTCTGAGTGTGCAGGAGAGAAAGGCAGAGGGGGCGATGTGGATCTGTGGTGTCAATGTTGAGAGAATTACAGAGGGTCCCAGTATTATTTTTGCATTCAGTACTCCAAGTGGAGAGTTCTTATGGGTTTCCAGAGGGCAGCGAGGGATGAGATCTGTGGTGACACTATTCTGTCAGTGAAAATGGGAGAGACTGTTTAACCAGTGGCAGAGAATACTTAAAATGTCCCTATAAAAAAGCTCTCACTGTTTCTTTTGAATTGCTGAATGACCAGCTGTCCTTTAGAGAGAAGACTTTGCACATTTTGGGTCATTTACAAAACATGTCAATTACAGTGCAATTATATAGATGTATTTTATTATGTAATAACTTTTCCTATGTTGAATTAGTGTGACTTAGGTTTTTTGAGACATATGTTGAAATATTTTCTTACAGTTATAACCTGAAATACATGTGCTTGAATTTATGCTTTTTTTAAAACTGTGTAACTGATTTTTCTGGAATAAGGGAGAGGCGTATTGGAAGGCAGAACCGGAGAGGAAGAAGGGCATGTAGTTTGGATTTTTTTTTCCTT